GCAGTGCGATGCTCACCTATGAGCGCACGGTCTGGGCTACCCTCGTGCATGTCCATGGGTGCCCTGGCCTGACAGACCTGTAGCAGCGCCATGGCACGCAAGAGGAGGCGGCTTGCCCACAGGCTTTGTAAGTTCTGCCCGTCGGAACGGACGAGAACTCACAGGCCATAGGGGGGAGACGAGGATCCCCCCAAAAGGTAGCGGCCGCCGGACACAGGTGCACCTGTGTCGTGACAGACCGCTCCACTGGAGGGATAACCTCGCAACCCTTCACCGCTCCTCCATCAAGGGTAGTGAGGGGGAAAAGCTGTTCAGGCAGTTTCTGGCAGAGAAAGGTGCCATCCACAACCTGTAAAGCTCTCCATGCACTTCGGGAAAGAAAGGCACTGGGGCGGCGAGCTGAGAACCAGCGCGGCCCGCCCCAAGATACCAATCCTCCAACCGAGACTGAACGGGACACGGTGGAGGGTTCCACTCGAGCCCGGCAGCCTCGGCGGCCCGTTTCAGCATAGCTGACATTTCTGGATCTGGCTCGGGCAATGTTAAACTCCCAGAGGGAGAAAACACAGCCGAGTCGTCATCTCCAGAGGCCAGCTCACCCACCGATGCTGCTATCGACATCTTGTCCTCTGGGGGAACCCCAAATGAAACGGCTGATCGGTCCATTACAGAGGGACCACCACGTTCAACAGGAATTCCATCGGCTACAGTGTGATGGAGGAGTGAGGAGCCAACAGGGAATGGTTACCGGGCGAGATCTCCATCACTATCCTCCGTTCACCCATCCCACACGGCACCCGGGGGTGGGGCATGGTAATGGGGACTCGCGCTTCGCGGACGAAGGCAAGTCTCGATCTCAACACCGCGACAGTCATATTCCTGCCATGGGAACATGTACCGCCCACAAAAGCTGCCTCAGCGTGCTGTAAGCCCAAACACGTGATGCAACAATTGTGACCGTTAGAGAGGAAAAGGGAACGACCGCATCCAGAAACGCACAGGTGGAATGACATCTTTCAAAAAAAAAAAAAATCTTTTATTTTTTTATTTTTTTTTAAAAGACGCAAACGCACCCGTGTTGCTCTTTCAGGAAACAGGACCCGTCACCAGTGCCGGAGCACACAGGGGACTGACCGCGGCAACACTGAACAGTGAACTGAAACAGTGAAGCACTCACTTTTCTGCCCTCTAACCAGCCGTCAACACACACAAACCTTTAGAAATTTGTTGCTGTTAAAACAGCAGTTGAGAGATCAAAGCTCGCGATCACCACTGCACTCGCGCTGTAGAAACCACCAGCACTGGGAGAGTTTTCCAGAAGAACACCGACACTCACTCTTTGTAAACAACAGCACTCTTCAGAGACATCAAAGACGATCGGCTCCGAAGTGAAAGACAACTAGTGCGTGCATCCACTTCCGTATTTATACCCGCGGCGCGGGGGCGGAGTGTGTGATGCATTTCACGCACGCCAATTTCATTGGCTCGTTTTAATAGTACTCGAAGATGACAGGCTCTCTAAGCGTGATCCCAATCAGTCGACTACGCGCGCTAGCATCAGTTGTGCGCTCGGTTATTATTGGCATTGATTTGCTGCCATAAAACTCGCTCACCAGCTCAGAACGAGGAGAGAAATCAGTTCAAGGCTGTAAATGGAATCCAATTTATTTCTTCCCACTGCAAAATGGCCCAGCACAACAAGTCGTCCCCTTGGAATTATAAGGTTCTATCTGACATTTTTGTCAAAATTGAGTTATTCACATATTCTTATTCTGTGACAACTTATTTACATTATGTGATGTGTTTTTTTTAAATTGTGTCCATTGTGGGACTTTTTATTGAAAAAACAAAAAGGTTCTATCTACAAAATCGAACTCTAACTTGGCTCTATAAGGTTCTATCTGCGTGAGCCAATCAGCACTTCGAATGCACAGAAGAGGACCAATCAGAATCAACTTTATATGTCATGTCGCAGGCTTTTTCCTTAAAGACAAAAAGAAACCCCATAAAGGCATAATGCTATACATTTACAGTAAATTAAATATTCACTAAATTGTGTAGTGTTATGAAGTGGCTTCAATTTGGCCATTTTCTTTATAGTGTATTGGTTATTATTATTAATTATCAATGAGGTTATTATTAATAACTATTATTATTATAGTTATTATTATCTGAATTATACAAATATGCAGTGGGTAAATTGAATATTTAAAAAAAAAACATTTAACATGCAAGTGTGTGTGTGTGTGCGCGAGTGTGTGAAAATGTGTGTGTGTGCGAAAGTGTGTGTGTGACTGTGTGTGCGAGTGTGTGAAAGTGTGTGAAAGTGTGTGTGTGTGTGTGTGTGTGTGTGTGCACGCGCGCGTGTGTGAGTGTGTGTGTGAATGTGTGTGTGTGTGTGTGTGTGTGTGTGTGTGTGTGTGTGTGTGTGTGTGTGTGTGTGTGTGTGTGTGTGTGTGTGTGTGTGTGTGTGTGTGTGTGTGTGAAAGTGTGTGAGTGAGAGAGAGTGTGTGTGTGTGTGATTAAAAAATTAGTCTGACATTTTTTGTGATCATAATAGTCAGTGAATAATTTTTCAATGATTATTAAACTTTATGAATTAATTTGCTGAAGCATGTCGATTTTCTTGTAGTTTTTAAAGTCTTGAAATGTCTTAATTTTTACAATTTTAAGCCTTAAAGGTCAAATAGTTAACAATTTCATTGATGGGGTCTTAATTACAACAATAAACGTTAGCATGTTATTTCAGCCATACTGATGTCTAGAGAGAAAGCCATTTCACCTGGCCCACTTTAGCTGGAATAAAGTCCTGCTCAGATGTATTACAGTAGCTGCTTTCTGTCTAAACAAAAGAAAGATTAAAGTAACAATTTCTGCAATAATGTGTTTAATTACCCACCAAATTGGTAACGAAAATTAAGATTCTGCACTGGACAAAATATTTAGACCTACCTTGCTTAATTTGAAATGTCCTAAATACATGGAAGTGCTAAAAAATATGAAATAAATGTCATAGAAAGGATAAAATTTTACTTTCTAACACATGTTGAGACATTGTTACAACATTAATTTTATATTTAATGTTCAAATAATGTTTTGGCAGATAGAACCTTATAATTCTAAGCGAAAAGTGTTTTTTTTAGAATTAGAAGGTTCTATCTGCGTTTGACCCATTCCAAAAAAAAACATTTACAAATTTGAGAGGATTTTGATATTGTATATTTAGAATACATTTAGGGTCCCTGTTATTTTCATGTTTGAAAGAAACTTGTTCCCCATATAAATTTTCCTATATGTAATGCAAAAACTTTGAAGCTCAATATCTCAAAACTGCTCAGAACGCAGATAGAACCTTATAATTCCAAGGGGACGAAGTGGAAAAACGTCGCAATAAACGTCATAGTAGGATTGCAATAATTATTATTATAAAATTATTATAATCTTGCTATTCAAAAGGAAAATTAGGTCCATGTTGTTCATTGGTTGGATGCTCCCTCAGGCCCGGAAATTACTTATATTCAGAAATTAAAGCGTTTAGTTTTCCGAAAAATGATGTGACGCCGGATTGCAGCATTGGAGCAAGAAGGCTGAATACCAACTAGCACCTTTATGATATTCAGCACACATTTTTATTCGGGTAAGTGAATAACATTTTTTTCTATTGATTTTTTGTTTGTTTGTTTCTTTACACAGAATAATTTGAGCAAGCTTTGTGCAAGGAAAATTGTAAATTGTCTTACATTATGGACACTGCAGTTTATCCACATGCCACCTGCAGCAAGTCTATGGCATGTATTATCATTATTGTTAATGTGTGTGTTGCATTGCATATCTGTATGTGACTGTATACTTGAAAATATATTTTGCATATATTGTCATTTATATTCTCTTTCACATTGTTCCATGGCAACAAGGATTGCAGCAATATGGCTACAAATGTCATCTAACCTAAGTACACACATTTTGAAATGTTTAAAGTAGCCTAATAATGGCACATAGCAATTAGTTTACTAGCATACAGTTTGCAATGTAATTTATTATTTGCATATACAGACTGAACCAAACAGCTATGCAAGTGCAATGGCCACTAACAACCTCCCAGGGCATCATCTTAGCAACGTTTTTGACGCCATTTGACTTGCTCAAGCCTCACCAAACACAAGACAATTGTTGTCCAAATTGTTCAAACAAAAATTCCCAGCCTTTCTGCTAAGAAGATTGTAAAATTGTAAGCATCCAGGCTGTGATATGCTTTAAATGCATTTAATGTAGACACACACAGTATCAAGATACAGATATAGGCTATACGTCTGGATAAAATACTTAAGGTAAACATTTAATGTTCTTTGTGAAAAAAATAGCAAGTACAATCTTTTAACTTCTGCTTATTTGAAACCTGACAAGAGAAATGCAAATATTATACCACAAACATGTTCTATGATTTAAGTGACATATGAATAAACAGCTTACATAATATATCCTACTATTTTTTCCCAGATAATAGCTCAGATCCAAACTATTCCTATACTACTTTCAGTTCAGAAGTTTGGGGTTGGTAAGATCTTTGTTTTTAAAAGAAGTGCCTTGCACACTAAGCCAGCAAATTATTTGATCAAAAATGTAGTAAAAAACGGCAGTATCGTGAAATATTACCATTTAAAATATTTGTTTTCTTTTTAATATATTTTAAATGTCATTTATTCCTGTGATGGTAAAACTGAATTTTAGGCAGCTGTTACTCCAGTCTTCAGTGTCACATGATCCTCCAGAAATCATTTAAATATGCTGATTTGCTGCTCAAGAAAATTGTCTTATTATGAATGTTGAAAACAATTGTGCTGCTTATTTTTGTGGGAACCGTGATTACAAAATGTTCTGGCTTTTTTTGATGAACAAGTTAGAAATTATATATTTAAAATAGAAATATTATAAACATTATAATTATCTGTCACTTTTGATCAATTTCATGCATTCTTGCTAAATAATTTATATATTTTTTAAATCTTACTGATTCCCGTACTTTTGAATCATAGTGTAAGTCACAAAAGCTGAAATGGATATCAAGTTAAAATCTAACTATATGGAGCCAAGGATTTGTATATGATATTTTGTGTATTTAAGTTATCCTACAGCAACAAAACAATGGTAATAAAGCTCAGAAGTGGGAGATTGAAGTTGACATTATTCAACCAAATGACACCATTTTTGTAGAAGCTCCCTTCATAGCATGTCACATTTCCAAAGTTTGAAGGCTGACAAAGAGTTCTTGAGATACAACCGTTCAAGGTGTTGTTTCCAAAATCATAATCATAAGGCAACGAAGAAGCTGAGAATACAAGAAAAATTAAAATAAAATAACACTGGTGATTAGGATCAGTTCCAGATCAATATTTTGAAATTTTCAGATATTATAAATGCTGTCTTTCTCAAAACACTCTTAATTTATTATTGATATTACTGATATATCTGTCTCACCTGTGTCATTAAGGCAGCGGTCCTGATTACCCACACAGACCATATCAGAATCACACTGTTTATCATAAAAGCTGTGGCATGATTTACACTTCAGTCCATTTGGGGTTTTGTTTGGTGCTAAAAATCAGAGTTGCACTAAAGGGTTAATCATTTTTAAATAGTATTTTACAGACATAGAAAGTCATCCAAACCTTTCAAATGTACCTTGTTAATTATCAGCAAATAGACCATTAAGCAAATCAGATATACAGGTCCAAATACTGTTCTTTTCTGATTTTAATAATAATGTTTTGATGAAAACACTGTATTAAATGCATTAAATTATCTTACCATCAAAATTATTCTTGTTACATCCATTAGTGTTGCAGCAGGAGAGGGTTGAAGTTACACTTGTCTGACCAACAGCAACTGAAGCAATGAATGTTGTGCCATTTGCATTCAGCAGTGCACAAACAGCATTCAATAGGCAAAACCTCTCTACTACTGTAAAATTAAAACCTAATCCAGAGAAACAATACAACACAAATGTAAGAGGACTGTGCATGTATTCCATAACATTACTCTTTTTAACAGGAATGAAGAGTGGAATTTTTTTTTTTTTTTGCTGTTTTTTTTTTTTTTTTAATCAAATTGTATATTTTTTTAAAATGTTAGAATATTAAAGAAAGAAAGAAAATTAGACGTGTCTAAAACTAACCTGAAAAAGTTCCATCAGTCCTCAGGGTGGCACAATACTGATTTGAGCGACAGTTTGTTAAAAATGGCTTCTCACAGAATGAAGAGTCACACAAAAAACACTGCAGCATGTGAACTGTTCAACAAAAACATTAATAAATGAATGTGACATTTAAAGAAGAAATAGTGTAATATTCAAATTCATTGTAACAAAACTTTTAATTATATTCAGTAAAGCAAATGTACACCTGTTACTGGAGCATACCTGCGTGGATGAATGAAGAGGTGAGAAGGAGTCCTAAGAAAAAAATCATGTTGAAAGGCCTGTGGAGTGAAGTAAATGTCTTGTTGTCTGAACATCTAACTGCAACTCTTATAAAGGGGAGTTGGTTGGTGGTGGTTGCAGGGGTGTTTTTAATTAATATGCAGTATTTTGGTGAAGTACACAAAAAGAGAAGCTTGATATTGTTTGCCAGGGGAAGTCATGTTCATATCGCTATGTTTTAATTATGTTCATATTATTGTTTCATAAAGGTGTCATACTTCAAAATCATTTTCAATTTTTTTTTATTACAGTATGGCCTGTAGCTTGACGATGACCTTAAGAACAATGTTTTGTTTTCCCCACTTTCGTATCCTGCAAAATAACCTATTGCATTAGCTTCAATTCGCATTACATACTGCTCTTGTGAGCTACAGTATTGCTCAACCATCCCTACAGTCACTATAATAAACCACTGTAAACATTGTGTTCATATTTTTTAACTACTGTGTGGGGTTTTTACTATCATTGGATTAATAGTTTAATCTGTGTCAACAAATTATCATAATGTGTGAAAGATGACAGCAACAAAAAACAAGATATACGAAGAAAGCAGAAAAATGATAGGTAACACTTTATTTTGATGGTCCCTTTTGAACATTCTGTTGACTATAAGTAACTTTGCAACTACATGTCAACTACCTCTCATTAGAGTATTAGTAGACTGTCTGCTTAATATCTGCTAACTCTTTAATTGTGATGCTCCCCAACAGACATTCTACAGACTATAAGTAACTTTGCAACTACATGTCAACTTATTCTATCCCTAACCCTACCAGTCTACTAATACTCAAACACTCTAGTGAGAGTTAATAGAGATGTAGGTGCAACGTTACTTATAATAGTCAACTGAATGTGTTAAAGGGACCATCCAAATAAAGTGAAACCAAATGATATTATATTAACATAATCATTCCGTGAATCAAGTATGAGTGTGATGAAGTGATATGAAATTTTCTGTCAGCTCATTGTTTACTCTATTCCCTACCTCTTCAATCCATTCTAAACTTCCTCTGCTTTGAAAATCTTTGAAAACTATGGACAACCTTGAAAAATTATTACTATGATCAAAATCCAAATTCCTACATCCAAAATCAAAATTTCAGGAAAAAACTGTTAAAATAATAATAATAATAATAATAATTCATTACATTTATATAGCGCTTTTCTAGGCACTCAAAGCGCTTCACTAGTGATGTATGTCTCGAGACCGGTCTTGGTCTCGAGACCGGTCTCGAGACCACTTTTACGTGGTCTCGGTCTTGTCACGGCCTTGACGGTCTTTGGTCTCGGTCTTGTCTTGGTCTCGGACCTCTCGGTCTTGTCTAGGTCTCGCTGTCTCAGACCGACATAGTGGTCCGGGGATTGAGCAATACAATACTACAATATCCACGAGTCACGACGATATCCGCAACGCATTCAAGCGCGCGTCCGAGTGAAGACAGTGCGGTGCGCGCGAGCCACGCGAGAAAACACTGTATCCGCGCCACTGATCGCAGCGGCAACGAGCACTTTGATCACTTGATTTAAAAAACACATATCATGTACAGTTTTTGATATATTAATATTTAGTAAAACACATATCAGTGACATGATGGGTTTTACCTTCATTCAGGAGATTTTGGGTAACTGCACAACTGACAGATGACTTTGAGCGCACCGCCAACGGTGTGTGTGTGTGTGTGTGTGTAACCATAGCGACAAAAACGACCAACTTTCGGATCCTGCACTTAAGCCTATAATTTCGTTTTTAAAAATATAATTATGTATTTAAAAGTTGCAGAATGGATTCATTTGGAGACTTCGAAATCAGCAGAGATAGGCAGGCAAATGCAAAACAACATTTGACAAGTTATTGCTTAGCTTCAACACTAATGTTTTTTTCCCCTCCGGTCTCGACTTGGTCTCGGTCTTAGTCTCGACTTGGTCTTGGTCTCGACTTGGTCTGTCTTGGTCTTGGTCTTGGTCTTGTCTTGGTCTCGATACCATCTGGTCTTGGTAGTGTCTTGGTCTCGGTTTAGGCGGTCTCGACTACAAGTCTACGCTTCACATGGAAGGGGGAATCTCCTCAACCACCACCAATGTGCAGCATCCACTTGGATGATGCGACGGCAGCCATAGTGCGCCAGAACGCTCACCACACACCAGCTTACTGGTGGAGAGGAGACAGAGTGATGAAGCCAATCAGTGTATATATATATGGGGATGATTAGGAGGCCATGATGGACAGAGGCCACTGGGCAAATTTGGCCAGGATGCCGGGGTTACACCCCTACTCTTTCGAAAGACATCCTGGGATTTTTAATGACCACAGAGAGTCAGGACCTCGGTTTAACGTCTCATCCGAAGGATTGTTTGTCCTTCGTTGTTGACGTTGTTGTTTGTCTGTTAGTTTTAGAAATTGATACAGACATACAGTATAAAGAGTCTTCCAAAGAAAACATAAAGCATCAAATTTTTTAAACAATCCTTATACAATCAAAATTAAAATATGAGGAACAAAATTACAATGGGTCTGAACGTTTTGTGATGGTATTTCACCACAGACGGAACCAAGAGACTAGCTTGATTTATGATATTCTGGTACATGGGTGAGTAATACAAAGATCTGTTGTCATGCAAAGTGCAAAGGGAAACAGCTAAACAATTATTTTGTCATTGGGATAAACATTTTTATACTGTATATGTTTGTATACTGATTAATACAGTAAATTATCACATTTAAACCACTTTTTCAAATCACAATTTTTTTTATCTGATGAAATATATGTTATAAGTAAAAGTAAATAAGGGTTTAAATGTTTCAGGCTCTGCAATTAAAAACTTAAAATGATCTCAACCCCAGGTTGATTAAGATTGTGATTAAGATTGTGATGATGATGATGATGATGATGATGATGATGATGATGATGATTCAAAGAAAGGAACGAGCCAATGGAATTGCCGTGCATGATGACATCACACACTTTGCCCCCGCAGCGCGGGTATAAATACGGAAGTGGATGCACGCACTAGTTGCTTTTTCGCTGAGGAGCCGAGCGTAACTCGGAGTCAGCGGTGGTCCAGCGGTAGTGGCAAGGGGACTATGTCCTCCGTTCCCTACTTCAGGGAACGGTGGGTTGCATACGCAACCAGGACGTTCCCTTTAAGTCGAGAACGTCAGACATAGTCGACGTCGACTGAATGGAGATCAACCATTGAACACGCCACTAAAGCTGCCACCTTCCAGTGCCTAGACAAAAAGCCTCCTGATCCCCCCGCAATTTAAGGCGGAGAAGGGACAGGGCTTTAGGCCAGGGAAGTCACTGCTGTTCCTACAGGCTCACTGGGAAAGCGTTCCCTGTACATGGAAGGAAGGGACACTGCGGAAGACACATTCTGCCCGAAGGGATGTAACGTGGAGAATACACATATGAACTGGGCGGAGACCGGGCAGTACAACATATCGTCGCTGTCGGGCAGAAACCTCGTATGTCCAAATTTGGTCAATTTCATATTTTTTCACAAATCGAGGCTATTGGTCAGTCTCCACGTGGGTCTGTTATTTTTGCAAATTATTAACCAATCGAAAGTGTTGAAAATAGCTTGTGAGCAAACCTCTTAACTCCATTGGACACTTCAACTGTCTGAGAAACCTCGTAACTCCACCCCTTCTTCACTTGGCGCCGTCGCGCTGGGAGGGAGCTTCGCAGCATTTTTTATCCTCAAGATTGGAAGTAGCAATCCTCGTCGAGCAACACGTCCTCTGAGGTAAATGTCATGATTCAGTTATATAAATTATTTAATAACAGTTTATATATTATATATAACAGTTTTATCTCGATCAAAGTAATGGTAGTGCCAGTGTAGTGTAATGTATCATTTCTGAGGATGCTAGATTTTTCTTTCTGCTATGTCTTGCATTGGACGGTAAGTTAGCTAAGTTAACTTATCATGTTGATTGAAATTTTCCATGGTTTTGTTTCTGACGAGGAAATTTAATTTAAACCGCAAAAATTGCCTGTCGTTGACTTAGACTGCCGTTCAGACTGCAGGCAAAAGTGGCCCAAATCCGATTTTTTGGGGGTCAAGTGACCAGGTCAGACTTCCTCAGAAGTAGTGTGAAGAGTCAAATCTGGCCCAGATCTGATTTTTTCAAATAAGATTTAGACCACTTCCATATGTGGTCCTGAATCAGATCCAGGTCTGATTTTTTTCAATACTGCCGCAGTGTGAACAACCAAGGCGGATTTGATGCGACTTTTACGTCAATCTACATCGACATTTGTCACAAATTATGCGCCAGCGAGTCAGACATTCTGTCAGTCGATCTCTGACAGAGATAATCAAAAGTTGCCCTCAACATCCGAAAGTTTTCAAAAAACAGCGTCTCTGTGAAGCTATTCACATCACATTCCCACCACTCCTGGGGTAGGCTACTTTTTCGTCCATTCGTTTTTCCTTTAACTCCTAATTGAAAAACATGCTTTCTTCTTTATTAGTTTTTAGACTGGTGAAAAAATATTCACATACAAACTTATTTTCCTTATATAGCCTACATTGCTTATTTAATTGAACATCAAATAATTGACATAAGCTTTTTATTTTTATTTTTTTACAAAAATAAGAAATTTGATTTCTGCATTTTATTTGCGTTGATCCAGAACATTTAGATAATATGGAGCGTCTGTGAATTTAAAAAAATATATATATTCCGTGACGACGGTTTTGCAATCCGTCCCCTCAAGTTTAAACCGTAGACCTACTCACGAATTCTTAAACTGTTCCCTCGATCGGTTAAACAAATCGTGCCCACGGATTAATAAACTGTAGGCATACCCACGATATCCTAATCCGCGCTCTCAGATTTGTAAATATCAGTTCTTTGTAATTTCTTAAAATTTCAAAAACAAAACGACATTTAGGTACTGTCTACTAGAACTCCCAAGGCGGTCATTTTGACCGTTTTTGAATTTTACAGTGTAATAACTTTGTTAAAATAAAATCCATGTGGCTGTATGACTCTGACTTTTCCTAAATATGTGTA